GATGGCTTTCGTCGATATATAGTGATGCATTCCTTAGAAGGTGTGTTAGGGTGTTGTCCAAACCAAGATACATTAGCAGCTCATGTTGGGGTGACCTCGAGCTCACTCTCTAGAGCAGGTATAACCCATTAAAAAGCAGGAGGACGATTTAGTGTTTGAATCCTTTAATTCAGGAAAAGTTGTGGGATAGATGCAAGTTACAGAGGGGAAGGTGTTAATGAGGGTTATCTCTAGATATCCGAATTTCAGGTGATTCTATAATTCTAAAATTTGCTACAGTGAGTTGTTTGCATTTATAATCAGAAAAAAAATAGTATTCAAATACATAATGAAGAAATTCTGCATCTCTAAGGTGGATGCACTACATGGCAGCTAAGAGGAAGCCGAACACTGAGTCAGCTTCCTCTTAGGTAGTCAAAGGCGGGTGCTGTTTGATGTTAGAAAGCTCGGGTGTGGCTTGTACCTGGAGAAGTCTTAATAAGTAGTGGCCAGTTATGCCTGAGAATGGCCTGGAACATCTGGAGATCACGTACAAGAGAAATACACAGATAATGAACGTTTAAAGACATGAAGCCTGTGAATTCATAATAAGAGAATTCAAGTGTTGGAATACAGAAATCAAGAAGGCTGCTTGATATTAAAAGGTTATCACTTCCGAATGAGAATAGGCTATAGCTCATCTCCATTAAGGATGAGGTTTACTGGCTGTGGGAGGAGCTGAGGTTTGTTAAAGGACAATCGCAGGCTACAGAGAAATGAAATGTGTGTTTCTGCATTTACCGTACAGGTAGCATCCATGATACTAAATAACACTTGAGTCAAAATGTCTATAACTCCATTTTTTTTCCTAAGCTCTATTCAACAGGCTTGCTGTTTCAAACAATTTGATATGATGAAATTCTGGTTTATAAAACACACTTGTCACATGCCCTTTAAGCTTATTGTGATGGCATTTTATTCGCTTAACATAGATTATTTTAACTGACTTCTTCTTCCATGTTAAAAAGAAGAAGAGAACAAAGCACCAGCTTTATGCTATGTTCCTGAACATGTCATTTACATAAAACTAAAGACACAAGTGGTGTTCTCTTTCCCACTGGTTCTCCGTAACACCCATAATATCTCCCGGGGCGATTTTAGTAAGTGAACAAGAACATTAAAATAAGGAAAGCATATCACAGTAGAAAGGCCTCCTTCTAATAAGGCAACATTAAAGTAAGTACCACCTGACCTTCTTAATTAAAACGCGGTGAACCTCCACCAGTGCAGTAAGAAGGCTGGGAACCAGCTGCAAGGCACTTGTTTTTAAGGAACAAAATAGAAATTGTAGAAACCGATTTCCCAAAGTCTGCTGCAGAGTTTATGAAAATCTGAAGGAGGGAGCCCCTGTAGTGAGTGATCTCCTGTCCAAGGAGTTTTTGAAGCTGTGAAATGAAAAGCTCTGCAAGTCTAAAAAGTTTCCTTTGTGGTTCAACCATAAAAACTCTGCCCAGCCAGTGTGGTTCAGTGGTTGAGCATCAACCTATGAACCAGGAGGTCACAGTTCGATTCCTGATCAGGGCACGTGTCTGGGTTGCGGGCTCAATCCCCAGTAGGATGTGTGCAGGAGGCAGCCCATCCGTGATTCTCTCTCATCATTGGTGATTCTCATCATTGATGTTTCTCTCTCCCTCTGTGAAATCAATAAAAATATTAAAAATAAAATAGAAAATAAATAAAAACTCTGCCCCCGTCTTTCTGATAGATCCTCAGTCTGGAGGATAAAAACTCTCACCACACTTTTAAAAAAGGAACCAAGTAGACGGTATTGAGGTAAAGTCCCGTGTTGCTCAGCAGCCCTGTTTGCTAGAGCTGAAGCCTCCAGTGACACCCCTGAACATATAAGACACATACAGCAGTTTTCCCTTATAACATGGACTGTGCTTAAGCTGTGTGCTGTTGTTGTTGTTTTTTAATGTGAAAGGAACAGAACAGACCACTATTCTAAATCGTTGTATTCTGTTTTCAGTGATTATCAGTAAAATCACTGACTACTAATGGATACAAATTAGGGAATATGTTTATATGAAAAAAGAAAATGCAATGTCAACTTCAGCTCTTGGTAATCCTGTAAGTGAGATATTGTTCTCCTGTGTTTCAGATTTCCGGTTCCCGTGGTTCTTAATTATTATCTTTGGAATGTTTGGGCTGACGGTGATATTTTTATTCATGTTTTCTAAGCAGCAAAGGTAGGTGTGACATAGTCTGCCTTCATGTTTCTGCCAGTTGTTTGGATTTCCATGTGTTTTTCCATTCGTTATTTGGTGTTTTCTTTTGCAAATCATGAGTAAAAATTGTAATGAACCCAAGAAAATGTCACCTCCAGTTATATATTTACCACTTGGATGTGTGCGTCAGAGAGGGTTCGCAGGTTGGCCTTCTCTCTGGGACGTTGTGCAGGACATGGAGAGGCTAGGGGCTGCGCACCTGGCTATGCGCCTCCTAACAAGGCTGTTTCTCAGAGCCGCCTCCTCGCCCCTTCATAGTCCTGAACAAGGTCACACATTCACACGAGACCACCGGGAGCTCTGTGCCTTTGGCTGAGCTCCACACTGTCCTAATCTGATGTACAAGCAAAGTGAAGTGGCAAACTAAAGCCACCAAGATAAACCAGTCTAATACACCCTTGTCAGATTTCCTAACATGGCAATTTCAAGTAATTTCAAGTTTTATTTAAATTATTTGGATACTGCCCTGGCCGGTTTGGCTCAGTGGATAGAGAGTCGACCTGAGGATTGAAGGGTCCCGGGTTCAATTCTGGTCTAGGGTACATGCCTGGGTTATGGACTTGATCCCCATTGGGAGCATGCAGGAGGCAGCTGATCAATGATTCTCTCTCGTCATTGATGTTTCTATCTCTCTCTCCCTCTCCCTTCCTCTCTGAAATCAATAAAAATATATTTAAAAAATAGGATTTCAAAGAAAGTATATTAACCTCTGTCAGAAAAGTGTTTTCTATGAATGATGAAGTTCTTACCTATAGTTTGTTCAAAACCATCAAATTGTAACAGTTTTAGAAATGGTTTTGTACTTTCAGATTTCCTGTGCTAACGTAAGTTCTTTGCAGAAAAGAAGTACATGTTTTCTTTCATTTGCCCATAAAAATCCTTATCGTCATCTAAATTTCCGTGATTTAATGGAAGTAGGAAATGGTAGACCACATTGGCCAGCAGGTGTGGAAAGAACATGTAGTGCTAGCAATTAGAACAGTAATTAGACTGAGGTGCCCTGTGAGCCTTCCCAGAGCCTTAGGCTGGGAGGCGCTTCAGGGCCTCCGTGTCTTTGCTTGAAGTTTTGAGTCCACTTCTCCTTTTTCAAGTCCAGACGATGGAGTCCATGCTCGCAGAACTTGAACTGTAACTTGGATTTCAATAAGAGGATAGCAAAGTCACAAACATAGTTTCATGCCAGGGTCATCTCTGTTCTAGACTCTGTGGTTCCCACCATATGACTCGCCCCCAGCCTTGGAGCTGTTACTAATCAGGAAAGAAATAATAACGGAGTCAGCGTGAAACAGCAGGGCACACAGAAAGCCGAAACCAGCCTGCCGACCTGTGTTTTGTTACTGGATGTTGTTTTGATTTTGAAGTAAAGATTTTGCTACAGAGTGTTGTACAAAAATACGGAGTTTTCACATAGAAAGTCATATTTGCAGATTGTCTTTAAAAACTGGAAGGTCTAGCGAAACTGTGTTGATGGGACCCTCTGGCAACCTACGCCAAGCAGGGGCCCTGCTGTCCCATCTGGAAAGGGCATTCTCTGGTTTGTCACCATGCCCATCTCTCCCTGTGGCATTGCCACTGTCTTGTCTCATTCACAGGCAGGACATTCTTGGGCCCTGTGGGCCACAGGATTGGGCACCCTGGCATTAGGTCAACCGCAACTCCCAGAAAGCTAACTACCAACACGTGCTTCCATGTGTCAGCCTCTTCCAAAAAGGGAGGCACGCATAAAAATCAAGCGCTAGATACCTGGGGCTCTTTGCTTCCCCTGATTAGGGTTATGGTACGTTTCTGTATGTTTCAAACATTGGAAACATCCATTTAGAGATGCAGAACCGAACAAGAGCAGCACCACAGGGACAAAGGCCGGGTTCTGTCGGGTGATTTCGATTTGAGCCCAGCTGTGCCAAATATTAGTGCATGACTTGAACACCTGCCCTGAACCTCTGACTCTACACAGAAGGCCCTCTCCCTCCCTGGTAGTTGTAAGGACTGCATGAAATGTTCCGTTTTATAAAGGGCCGAATGCTGAGTGTCTGGACTCTCCGGGTCATGCAGTCTCTGTCATAGCCAACGCAGCCATAGAGAGTATGGAAACTGATGAATGTGACTGTGTTCCAGTAAAACTTTATTTATAAAAACAGAGGGTATATGGCGATGGAAGATGATTTAACTTTGGATAGGGTGGGGGCACACAGTGCAATATGCAGATCTCATAACAGAAATCTACACTGAAACTTTGTGATCCTATTAACCAACGTCACCCCAATAAATGTAATTTTTTTAAACTATAAAGAAAACAGAAAGCAGACGAGGTTCACCAGCAGGCCATAATTTGCCGGCCCATAGTTTAGTGCAAGATGTACCCATCAGTACCTGCTTTATCAGAGGCATTCAAAACATGGTAGTTATCATTAATAATTTATATTGTTTATCTTGTATTCATCAGTAACAGTTTGCTTTAACACTTGCCCCACTGAGTAACCCTAATGGAGGCTAGTCAAAACAACTAATAAAATGGAATTTGGTTTATCCCTTCAGTTAGGTAAGAAAAAAAAAAAAAAAAACAATGGAAATATTCAGAAAAGGAGCTCCCTGTTGAATAGACTAAACTGTCCATTCACATTGAGTGGAATATCAGCTGTCAGGTTGCCATTCCTGCCCAATGGTGACATCTCTGACACTTAGGTTTTTTTAAAAACAATAAAATGAGTTGGTTGAAATTTTTAATCTCCAAGCTTTATTCTAGAGCTACAATGTTGATTTGAAAACAAACTCTAACCCTAGACGGTTCGGCTCAGTGGATAGAGCATTGGCCTGAGGACCGAAGGATCCTGGGTTCAATTCCAATCAAGGGCACACATGTACCTCGGTTGCAGGCTCCTCCCTGGCCTGGGCCCCGGTCAGGGCACATGCAGGAGGCAACCAATTGATGTGTTTCTTTCACGTCGATATTTTTCTCTGTCTTGCCCTCGCTCTAAAAAATCAATGGAAAAATATCTTTGGGTAAGGAACAAACAAACAAACAAAAAACAACCTCCAGTTCCACTAGTAACAAAATAGATAAATAATTTATTCAGATTTACTTAAGAAATGTTTGTTGAGCATTGCCTATGTGCCAAGAATTGTCCTAAGTGCTAGTGATACAATAAGGCACAAAACAGGCAGCATAGATATTGAAATTAATTATGGTCAAAAAATAATTTAAATATTTGGAACAGAAAATTTAACTGCATCATAGAATTGTGTATATAAAGCAATACAGATTAGTTAGAAATAGCTCAAATGTACTGGGTCCCAACTGAAATGAACCCTGCAGTGACACTATGGCTAATGAGATCATCTTATATAATCTCATCATTGATGTGAGCTGTGTGGTGCGCACTTACCCAGTCCACCCTAATTTGGCTCCATGTGGATTGGCGATCCCTTTCTTCCTCCCTTCCTTCCTTCCTACCTTCTTTCCTTCCTCCCTTCCTCCCTCCCTCCCTCTCCCTCTCCCTCTCTCCCTGTCTCCCTCCCTCTCTCTATCCCTGCCTGCCTTTTCTCTGCAAATTACTGGTGTGAAGTGCTGTATCATTACCTTTCTTATAACTGAAATGGAAATTGGCTTTAGAAGAAATCAAATTTCTCACTCCCAAATACTAATGCTGGCTGTCAATAAAAGGCATTAAGGGGGAAAAAAGATTACAGGAAAGCCATGTTTTCTTTAAATTGACTTCAGATAGGGGCTTTTTGTTGTTATCGTTTTGTTCTTTTTTTCTTCTATAGTTTCCCCTCATTATTTACTGCTTAATATTTTCATGCTCTTTCTCATGTTCCACTTATAAAGGACTAGGATATTTGAAATAAGTAATAGCACTGCCACTATTTTATTTCTATCTTTTGAAATAAGAGAGTGTACAACTTTTAAGATATATCACACCAAAATTTTAATTGTCTTCAAGGATTAAGATGCTGCTTCTGCCCCCAGTTCCAGTTCCAAAGATTAAAGGAATTGATCCAGATCTCTTCAAGGTAATTAATAAATTATCTAAGTTATAGATAACACTAATTGAATGATATCTGTAAAACATTGTCTTGTGTTGAGGGCTTTTGCAAGCTACATGTAACACATTTCATTTTTTGTGCCTCTTCTGAAGAAAAAAAAAATTTAATATTACATCTTCTAAAATTATGTCTTGTATATTTAAAAGTTCTTCACTAATACGTATTTTTATTATGTGGTTCTGTTACTAATGCCTTTATTATAACCATAATTATTCTCTTAATGTTATTTGTTAGCTCACTTAAGCACTGTGAGTTTCTTTTCATAGATCTTCCTTTTCTTTCTGTTTCCTAGGAAGGAAAATTAGAAGAGGTGAACACCATCTTGGCCATTCACGACAACTACAAGCCTGAATTCTACAATGATGACTCTTGGGTCGAATTCATTGAGCTCGATATTGACGACCCTGATGAAAAGACTGAAGGGTCGGACACAGACAGACTCCTCAGCCATGACCATCAGAAACTACTTAACATCCTGGGGGCGAAGGATGATGACTCTGGCCGAACCAGCTGTTACGACCCTGACATTCTGGAGGCTGACTTCCAGGCCAGTGACGTGGGTGACGGTACCTCAGAGGTTGCTCAGCCACAGAGGTTAAAAGGGGAAGCAGATCTCTTGTGCCTTGACATGAAGAATCAAAACAACCCGCCTGGTAGGGATGCTCCCCCGGCGGCTGGGGAGCCTGGTGTTATCCTAGCAGAGGAAAGCAAAGCCAGACCACTTCCCCTCGGTGAAACCGAGTCAGCTCCCCACGCTGCCCACGCTCCGCTCCACAGTCCGAGTCCACTGGCAAACATTGACTTTTACGCCCAGGTGAGCGACATCACACCCGCAGGGAGTGTGGTCCTTTCCCCGGGCCAGAGGAATAAGGCAGGGATACCCCAGTGCGACGCGCACCCAGAGGTGGCCTCGCTCTGCCAACCAAACTTCATCACGGACAGCGCCTACTTCTGCGAGGCAGACGCCAAAAAGTGCATCCCTGTGGCCCCTCACGTGGAGGTGGCAGCACGTGGAGAGCCGAGCTTTAACCAGGAAGACATTTACATCACCACGGAAAGCCTTACCACTACTGCCCGGAGGGCTGGGACAGCGGGACCGGCCCCAGGCTCGGCGATGCCCGTCCCTGACTATACCTCCATCCATATAGTCCAGTCTCCGCAGGGCCTGGTCCTCAACGCCACTGCCTTGCCCCGGCCCGACAAGGAGTTCCTCTCGTCGTGTGGCTATGTGAGCACAGACCAGCTGAACAACATCATGCCGTAGCCTGTCTTTGATTTCCCCTGAGCTAAGTATTTAATGGCCAAGAGAGGGCTGGGGCATGAATGCTTAAACCAAAACCATGTTTAAACCTTCTGGGATGGTGGGAGGGGAGGTGGGCGGGGAGTGTGGATTCTAAATGCCTTTTCCTGAAATGTTGACACATGATATTAAAAGAAGAAGAAGAAAAAAAAAAAAACACTTAATCAGCTAGATATTCCCCTTGTGAATTGTAAATACTTTCAAGAGTCGTCTCCAAGACTGTTTTGTGGCAGTGATCGTCTTGTTATTGTGGGTGTTCATTTTGTGATGCTGAGCTTTGAATGGCAGTAAATCATGCTTTTTTTTTTTTTAAAAGCGAAAAATCAGGTGGCTTTTGCAGTTCGGGAAACTCGAATGCGAATTAAAGCACAGGCTACTTTTTTACGTGATTGGGAGCTAAAATTATACGTAAGAGAACAAAAAATAGTTTGGATATGGAAAATTTTATTTTGACATAAAACTGATAAAGATATTTTTAATAATTTACACTTCAAGCATGGCTGTTTTTTACTACACTGCCCACTGTGTCCTGAAGTTCACGGGGACCCATCTGAAGACTGTAGCAACTACAGTCTGAAGCTGACCTAGTGCTTTGGTCCCATTGCCTAATGAAAACAAGTCAGTTTTTTACAAGGCCCTTTTGATACCTCCCCAAACTCCTCACACACGTCAACAATGATTGTAGTTACCCACATCATTGGAACATGCTGGTCTTACCTGAATTTTTAAACAAATATTTGTTCATTTAGAAAACTTGAAAATGTTTGCACAGGCCAACTTTTCGTGAACCAAAAAAACAAACAGAAACCCCTTCCTGACCCAAATTTCGGTTCGTGTCAGAGCACTCCGTACTAGAAGTAGGACTTAGAGCTGGTTCACACTGAGGAGGAGGAAGAAAACCCTAGAATCTGGGCAGCGGGCTGCCCTCAGACACAGCTGGGTTTTCTTCCCCAGTTACCTGAGAAGGGAATAGGTACAGGAAGCACTTTGTAAGTCGAAGCAGGTTGAAATGAAACTCACCGCATAATGGAATAAGAAGTGTGAGAAATAGGTATTTGTTTCACAGACAGTAGCCAGACACATACTCATTATTTATGTGAACGAGAAACAAGATTTTAAACCCCCACAGATAACTCTCAGTTTATTTGAGCCAATCGCAGAAACCGCCTTCCTCACCAAACCTCATATAGGATTTATTTAAAATAGTAAAAGAAGTTTCATCATTTTTATTTCCCCTCTGAGTGCAATGATTGGCCTCTAAGCAGGGCGTCTGAAGAAAAACAAGGGGCCTGAGTAATTTATGAATTATTGTTCGATCCCTTAGTAGCCTAACCATCATTCTTAGGAGCACTGGGATGGCTCCCCAAAAAGTTTATAGAAAAGAGAAGAATCTTAATGAAGAATACTTCTCACACTAAGTATTTTTTTAAAAGGTGAATGAAACTTTAAAGTTAGCTTTAACTTCAGTAGTATTTGCCATTTAGCTCAGACCTTTTTAGGAAATAGCCTAATGGTTGGTAATTTTAAATTCCCTCTTTCTTGCAAGGACAGTGAAAAGCTGGAATTGGGTGTTTAAAGTTCAACATGTTACTTTGTAATAGATGTTTCATAGATTTTTCTGCTACCTTGCTGCTATGGTTTTCAATAAGAGCTACATAATTTAGTTTCATATAAATTTCATGGACGTAGAACCTAATTCAACTTAAAACTGTGTGTTTGGGAAAACTATCTTACTATTTCACAATAGGCTGACAACATTTCTATCGCCAAAAATAGCTAAATACCTCAATCAGTCTCAGAATGTCGTTTTGGTACTTTGCTGGCCACACAAGCCATTATTCACTAGTATGACTAGTTGTGTCCTGCAGTTTATATTTAACTTTCTTTATGTCTGTGGATTTTTTTCCTTCAAAGTTTAATAAATTTATTTTCTTGGATTCAAGATGGTATGCTTCTCTTGTCGAACCCACATGAAAAGCGTCCTTACCCAGGCTGCACACTGCGAGTTCTCATTGCAAGGAGATCTGAGCATGGTTGGTTTAAACACATTGGCGCCAGGATGGTGCTGTTCAGTGTTTAGCACCAACCCATGCACCTGGAGGTCAGGGTTCAATTCCCGGTCAGGGCTCGATGCCTAATAGGGACTGTGCAGGAGGCAGCCAATGGGTGATTCTTATCATTGATGTTTTTATCTCTCTCTCCCTCTCCCCTTCTCTGAAATCAACAAAAACATATTTTAAGACCATAAAAAATAAACACATTGGCAATGGACCTGGGGATTTTTGTTCTGTGCAGAGGAGGCAGCTCCCGGCCTCTCTCTCTGTGAGGGATCAGGAACCCGACTCAAACATGCTGGGCTGCGGGTCTGTGCCCTTGGGGACTCCCAGAGCCGTGTGTGGGTCATTACGGTTTGCATGATATGTGTAAGAGTGAGCAGAGAGTGGGGCGTGAGCCTGGCACCCGCAGGAGGAAATCAGCTCTCCCAGACCAGTCACACATCAACTACCTGTCACCAGGGGAAGCGGACAGAAATCAGGCCGGAGGGAGGCGGGAGGCAGGAGGTCAGGAGCCTGAGAGCAGTGGAGGCAGGAGGCTGGCTCCTCCCAGGAGGCACCAGGCTCTTCCTACTAAGCCACAGCCTCGTTGTGCAGGCCGGGTCCTGGGGGCTGGAGTCTGGGATGGCTCTGAGGAGGTCGAGGAACCATCAGTCATTGCTTCAGCAAGTGGGATGCAAGCTGCCACCACCTTTCACAATCCCAGGGGTTTGCATTCAATACAGAAAGAACGTTCTCTACCCGCTGCCTTCTGCCGCTGCGCGTTTGGAACACATGCTGCTTCAATGCTCAAAAAACAAGGGTCACCATGTTAAGCATCAGGTCTTTGATAGTGTATGTTTATCATACAAACATACCTGGGGAGTCAGGAGTGAAGGGAAGGAAAGGCCCATCCCTTCCATGGACTGAAAAGGCACAATCCTTTCTATTCCAGAAGGTTCATGTCACGTTGAAGAGGGTTACACATGTGTTCCTGCGTTTAAACTTCTCCAGGGTTCTAAGACACACGAACACCGAAATCTGTTCGTATGCTGCAATATTTACTTATGGACCTAGTTTTACACCAAAATACTAAGTGTCTTTTCATGTCACTAGATGTTACTTAATCCAAACTCAAGTTCCCACAAAATGTGCCCCGTCGCCTTTGCAGGCTTCCTGTTTAAGAGCTGAGTGTAAAGGGCACAGCTTCTGAAAAAGAACTTGAACTTTGCTTAACATTCAAGCTCTGCTCCCATGGACATCGAAGAAGTGTATTATGTCAACTATGTTACGTAGGCAAAATTGCTCGTTTAAAATGATCTCTGACTGGGATGGGGAGAAGCTCCTAATACCTGGAGATAAACCATACTTGCGACTTGAGTATGGTGGCTTGTAATTGAGCAAGTCCCCTATGGGGACCCTAGAAGCCATGCCTGTGGGGTTGCACCAAGAGCTGTTGGCTCCAATGAGACATAGAACTTCTAAGCCTGGGGAGGTGGGGGTCCTCCTTTAGTGCCCAATAGAACTCCTTCTTTGCTCCAGAGCTGTCCGGCGGGGTGGAGGGGAAAGAAAACACTGGACAGCTGTATAAACAACCTGCGTGGACTGTTGCCATGACTACAGCTGTAGAGCAGAAAGCCTGGTGCTGCCCTGTGCCACCTCCTTCCTATCCTGCATCCTCCTGAGTAGACTGGGGCCATCTGTGGTCTGTGGTCGTCTGGGGGATGTTGACTTGAACGTAAGATCCCCCTGTGGATATAGCAGGAGACATGGCCACTCCTTGAACAAAGTGTGTGCCCCCCATCTCTGCCCTTGCTCATGCCCCCTCAACAGCTCCAGCTTACCAGTCCTGCCTGTTGACATTCACCTCATCTTTCATGGCGCAGCTCAGAGGTCTCCTTCATGAAGCCCCCCTGATTCCCACCAACCTTAGGGGATCAGTCCCTCCTCTGAACCACTCACTGTGATGTCAGCTCACCTAACAATGCCTAGGATGAGTCTGCTAACATGGATTCTGGGACATACCTGTTCCCTGAAATGTTCTTGAATGAGGGATTCTGTGATTGGGTAAGTTTGGAAAACACCCCATACTACACTTCCCTCTGGGAGAGCCAGGGTGCCTGCTGACACTTTAAAGCTTCTACAGTTAAAAAAAAGAAAAAAAAAACACCTGCTTAAACTTAATATTATTTCCCCCATTTACTGAACAATGAAAAATACACTAAAGCAGTACCCATTATTATATCTATTCACACTTGGAAAAGGTGCTCTTATTAGACCAGTAGGCCTGGCACAAAATAAAGTTACAATAAATTTCAGGTGAATGTGAATCTGAACAAAGCATCTTACGTGATACCATTAAACTTACTTTCACAATACAAGTTCCTCAAAAATGAAAAGCAAAGGGAAACAAAATAAAGACAAACTGGACTACATCAAACTAAAAAGTTTTGCACAGCAAAGGAAACCATCAACAAAACGGAAAGACAACCCACTGAATGGGAGAAGATATTGGCCAATGGTACATCCAATAAAGGATTAATATCCAAAATATATAAGGAACTGATACAACTTAACACACAAAAAGAAACCAATTTGATTTAAAAAAAAAAATAGAGAACCCAAATAAACATTTCTCCAAAGATGACATATAAATGGCCAACAGATATATGAAAAGATGCTCAACTTCACTAATCATCAGGCAAACATAAATTAAAAGCACACTGAGATATCACCTCACACCCGTCAGAATGTCTATCATCAATAAATCAACAAATAACAAGTGTTGGCAAGGATGTGGAGAAAAGGGAACCCTTGTGCACTATTGATGGGAACGCAAATTGGTGCAACCACTTTGGAAAGCAGCATGGAACTACCTCAAAAAATTAAAAATGGAACTGCCTTATGAACCAGCGATTCCTCTTCTTGTTATTTAGCAAAGAAATTCAAAACACTAATTCAAAAAGATGGATGTACCCGCTATGTTCACTGCAGCATTATTTACAGTAGCCAAGCTATGGAAGCAACCCAAGTATCCATCGATAGATGAGTGGATAAAGAAGATGTGGTACATATATACAATGGAATATTACTCAGCAATAAAAAAGAATGAAATCTTGCTATCTCTTACATGAATGAACTCAGAGGGTATTATGCTAAGCGAAATAAGTCAGAGAAAGACAAGTACCATCTGATTTCACTTATATTTGAAATCTAAAAACAAAAACAGAAACAAACTTACAGAAACAGAGAACAAATTGATGCTTACCAGATAGGAGGGCAGTTGGAGGACTAGATGAAAAAGGTGAAGGAATTAAGATGTACAAATTGGCACTTGTAAAAACAGTCACAGGGATGTAATGTATAGGGAATATAGTTAACTAGAGGCCCGTGCACAGATTCATGCACCGGTGGGGTTCCTTGGCCTGGCCTGCACCCTCTCTCAATCCAGGACCCCTTGGGGATGTCAGACTGCTGGTTTTGGCCTGATCCCCGCAGACCAGACCGAGGGATCCCACTGGAGCACAAATCCATGCACCAGGCCTCTAGTCTGAATATAAGATCTTTGGTTCATCTCTTCCCTCTGAGATTCATCAGTCTGTTCCATGTTTCCATGCCTGTGCATTGAGCATCTGCCCCCTGGTGGTCAGTGCACGTCATAGCTACCGGTTGAACAGTCCCTTAGGCTTTTATATATATAGATAATATTGTAATGTATGTAGTGCCAGGTGAGTACTAGACTTATTGGGTGATCACTTCATAAGTTATATAAATGTCTAATCACTATGTTGTACACATAGTGAAACTAATATAATATTGTGTCAGCTGTAAGGAAAATTTTTTGGTTATCTATAATAATAAAAGCATAATATGCAAATGGACTGAACGGCCAAACAGCAGAATGACTGTCCAGACGACCACACTATGACACGCACTGGCTCCAGGCCAGCCAAGGCAGGTTTGATGCGATTGGTCAGGGGGCCCCACCATTGCCCCATGATTGCCCTGCAGAGGGAGGCCCAGGCCACCGGCCGGCAGGGCAATCAATGGGCGGGGGAGGGGGGGGCTCTGCAATCGCCCCAAAAAGGGAGGCCCAGGCCACCCTCTGTGGGACAATCAATCGGGGGGCTCTGTGGAACTGGGGAACCAGGGGTGTGTGGCGGCAGACATGGGCAGTGCGAAGGCCAAGAAGGGTGCGGGTGGGGGCCAGGGCTGCGAAGGTGGCAGCCGGGAGAAGGAAGGCCTACCCTTGCATGAATTTTATGCATTGGGCCTCTAGTAACAAATAAAATAAAAGGCAAACAAACTCAGTCTCAATCAGTGCACTGTGTATTCTGAACTCAGAGGCTACGACACTGAGACATGCTTACTCACTCTTCATGACATGGAGGAAATTTGCTGTGAAGCTACAGAATATGTATCTGTTTCACCTGAACAAAAATAATTCGGTCCTTACTGCTGTCTGCTGAGTTTTAAAAAATAAAATCACCCAGATGAAACTTCAAACATAATGGATTTTTGCACAGTAGTCCCAGGAAGCAGTCTTTGTAGGGATATATAGAAAAGCAATTTTCTATTGATTAAAAAAAAAACGTCTACACGATTGCTCGGTGAGCATTAAGAGATGTTATCAGCATTTTCCGTAAGTATAAAATAATTTGTCAGGAAATTGTATGCACTTTGCCTTTCCCAATAGAACTGCAGTCAAAAATCCAAAGTGGAACGATTCTTATTGTTAGCTTTCCTTTAGATGGTACCATATGTTGAAAATGATTCACATAGGATTTTGATATTATGAAAGCACTTTCATATCTATTTTTTTAAACATAACAAATCTGTGTTACAGGCAAGCTAGACATTACTTTTAACATTTTGCAGGAGAGAAAAATCAAAGCTCAGAAAACCTAAG